AGTTCCTGACAGCCACTGTACTGCTTTCTGGCTTTATGTATTTGACTATTCTAGGTACCTCATATAAGTGGAATTACAGAATATGTGGCTTTTTTTTGTCTGGCTTTTTTTACATAGACTGTTTTCAAGGTTTATCCATATTGTCACAAGTATCAGTGCTTAATTAATTAATTTATTTATTGAGACAGAATCTCACTCTTGTTGCCCAGGCTGGAGTGCAGTGGCTTCACCCGTCAGGGTCCCAGCACTTTGGGAGGCCCAGGCAAGTGGATCACTTGAGGTCAGGAGTTGAAGACCAGCATAGCCAACATGGTGAAACTCCATCTCTACAAGAAATACACAAAAATTAGCCAGGCATGATGGCATGCCTGTAATCCCAGCTACTGAGGAGGCTTAGGCACAATAATTGCTTGAACCTGGGAAGTGGAAGTTGCAGTGAGCTGAGATCGTAGCACTGTGCTCCAGCGTGGGGGACAGGCTAGAGTACAGTGATGTGATTAAAAAATAAAATAGGCCCTAGGGAGCTTGTTCACCCCTATGGCCATGTGAGGACACAATAACAAGATACAAGAAGGTACCATCTATAACACAGAAAGCCCTAGCCAGGCACTGCATCTGCTGCTACCTTGAATTTCGACTTCCCAGCATAATAACCATGAACAACAGATTTCTGGTGTTTCTAAATTACCCAGTCTAAAGTGTTTTGTTATGGCAGCCTGAACAGACTAAGACAGAGTCCAAATATCCAGCAACTGATGGATAAACAAAATATATCATACAATGGAATATTATTCAGCCATAAAAAAGAATAAAGTGGCCGGGGGCGGTGGCTCAAGCCTGTAATCCCAGCACTTTGGGAGGCCGAGAGTGCAGAGGTCGAGAGATCAAGACCATCCTGGTCAACATGGTGAAACCCCGTCTCTACTAACAATACAAAACATTAGCTGGGCGTGGTGGCGCATGCCTGTAATCCCAGCTACTCAGGAGGCTGAGGCAGGAGAATTGCCTGAGCCCAGGAGGCGGAGGTTGCGGTGAGCCGAGATCGCGCCATTGCACTCCAGCCTGGGTAACAAAAGCGAAACTCCGTCTCAAAAAAAAAAAAAAAAAAAAAAAAAAGAATAAAGTGGCTGGGCACAGTGGCTCACATCTGTAATTTCAGCACTTTGGAAGGTTGAGGCAGGCTGATCACCTGAGGTCAGGAGTTCAAAACCAGCCTGGTCAACATGGTGAAACTCCATCTCTAATAAAAATACGAAAACTAGCCAGACACAGTGATTTGCGCCTATAATCCCAGCTGCTCGGGAGGCTGGGGCAGGAGAAACACGTGAACTCAGGAGGCAAAGGTTGCAGTGAGCCGAGATTGTGCCAGGGTACTCCAGCCTGGATGATAGAGCGAGACTCTGTCTCCAAAATAAAAAAAAAGAACTGCAAAAAATAAAAAATAGGAAAATTACATAGTACAGTTCACTTTTAACCTAGCAGTGTATATTTTTAAGTGTTCACAATAGTAGAGCCAGGGAGTCAGCTCATGAGGTCTAAATATTCTCTAAGTAGAATAAAAAATTCCCTCCAGTATTCTTGTTTCAGAGTTAGAGCTTGTTTGTTCCTATAAATCAGTCATTAGCATATAAAGAGTTGTTGGGGGAGATGTTTTTGGAGGGAGAAGCGAATGCCATCAGCCTGCCATCCTCTCCTTCCTGCGAAACTTTTCCACCAATTACCAAATCCTAATTGAGAATGAACTTTATCAAGGGAACATGGTCCTGTGCACAGGAGACCACTGTTGACATTGGTAACAGGGCTGCTTGGCCATTGTCTATGACTCTAGGCACTAACACCACATTTTGTATGACGTTCAAAAATGCTAATTTTTTTCAATTATAATATTTCATGATATTATAACTTAGTCATGTCTTATAGAAATCTAGGGTTCTGTAGACTCCCTGAGGAGAAATCCCCCTCCCCCCCCGCCCTTATTTTTTTTGCTTTGGTTTTTCGAGACAGGGTCTTGGTGACAATCTAGGTGACAATCTAGATGACAATCTAGGCTTGAGTGCAGTGGCATTCATAGCTTACTGCAGCCTCCAACTCCTGGGCTAAAGGGATCCGCCTGCCTCAGCTTCCTGAGTAGCTGCGATTACAGATGTGCATTACTATGCCTGCCTAATGAGAAACCCTATTTTATAGACTTAAGAATATCATGGACTTGCAGTTAAGTAGGACAAATAAACCATCCATGCACCCATATTAATCTTTGTTCTCTCCTGAAATTACACTAAAATTACAATAAAGGGATAAAATAGCTTAGAGCTAGCCGGGCGCGGTGGCTCAAGCCTGTAATCGCAGCACTTTGGGAGGCCGAGGCGGGTGGATCACGAGGTCGAGAGATCGAGACCATCCTGGTCAACATAGTGAAACCCCGTCTCTACTAAAAATACAAAAAACTAGCTGGGCGTGGTGGTGCGTGCCTGTAATCCCAGCTACTCAGGAGGCTGAGGCAGGAGAATTGCCTGAGCCCAGGAGGCGGAGGTTGCGGTGAGCCGAGATCGCGCCATTGCACTCCAGCCTGGGTAACAAGAGCGAAACTCCATCTCAAAAAAAAAAAAAAAAAAAAAAAAAAATAGCTTAGAGCTAGCTACAAGGTGAAGGAACAGGATATGATAGCATTATAATATTTTGGAATGTTCAGCACAGGTAGACAGGTGGTTAATGACAGTAAGTCTGACTCATGCCAGAGAAGCTAGGGAAGTTTAAGAAATTGCAGGTGTTAGTATTTTGAAAACGGTGAGATTAAAAACAGAATTGACTGAAATCTGTTAACCAATCTATCCCCCAGATTATTCTAGCATTTTTAATCTTTTTTTTTTTTTTCATTTTTCTTTTTTTGAGACAAGCTCTTGCTCTGTCACCCAGGCCGGAGTGCAGTGTGCAGTCATGGCTCACTGCAGCCTCAATCTCTGGGGTTCAACAATCCTCCTGCCTCAGCCTCTCCTCTTGAGTAGCTGGGACTACAGGTGTCTGCCGCCACACCCAGCTAATTAAAAAAAAAAAATGTAGCAATTAAGTCTTACTGTGTTTCCCAGACTGGTCTTGAACTCCTGGGCTCAAGTGATCCTCCTGCCTCCTGAAGTGCCAACATTCAGACGTGAGCCACCATACCTAGCCCTAGGGTTTTTTTTTTTTAATATGCCAGCTTTTCAGTGCTTCTTGATAGAGCACGTGAGCTGATATAAACTTTTTTTTTTTTTTTAAAGAGTCTCTGTCACCCAGGCTGGAGTGCAGTACCGCAATCTCAGCTCTTTGCAACCTCCATCTCCTGAGTTCAAGCGATACTCTGGCCTCAGCCTCCTAAGTAGGTGGGACTATAAACATGCACCACCATGCCTGGCTAATTTTTGTATTTTTAGTAGAGATGGGGTTTTGACACATTGTCCAGGTTGGTCTTGAACTCCTAACCTCAGATGATCCACTTGCCTCAGCCTCCCAAAGTGCTGGGATTACAGGCATGAGCCACCACATCCAGCATGATACAAACATCTTGATTATGTAAAAGATTTGTTAAGACTGGGTGTGGTGGTTCATGCCTGTAATCCCAGCACTTTGGGCAACCCAGATGGGTGGATCTCTTGAGATCAGGAATTTAAGACCAGCCTGGCCAACGTGGTGAACTCTGTCTCTACAAAAAAAATTAAAAAAATTAACCGAGTGTGGTGGTGTGTGCCTGCAGTCCCAGCTACTCAGGAGGCTGAGGTGGGAGGATCGTTTGAGCCAGGGAGGTGAAGGTTGCAGTCAGCTGAGATTATGCCATTGTACTCCAACTTGGGCAACAGAGCAAGACTCTGTCTTAAAAAAAAAGATTAATGGAATAAAGTAGCTTGGTAACCATTTGAAGGTTCAAGTCTGTGTGTGAATTGAGGGGAGTCATGAGAATCTTTCTTGCCTAAATAACCAAAATAAACTAAAAAGTTAAGGACAATGAATGTACAAGATTCAAACCAGCCTTAAGAATTAAGACCGACCAAGTTGGGGCATTAGGTTTGTGCTTCGAAGTACCCCTTCTGCTCCAAATTAATAAAAAACTATAGAGAAGGCCAGGTACGGTGGCTCATGCCTGTAATCCCAGCACTTTGGGAGGCCAAGACAGGTGGACCACGAGGTCACAAGATCGAAATCATCTTGGCCAACATAGTAAAACACTTTCTCTACAAAAAAAAAAAAAAAAAAAAAAAAAAAAAAAAAAAAATTAGCTGGGTGTAGTGGTGCATGCCTGCAGTCCCAGCCAGTTGGGAGGCTAAGGCAGGAGAATCCCTTGAACCAGGGAGCCGGAGGTTGCAGTGAGCTGAGATTGTGCCACTATACTCCAGCCTGGTGACAGAATGAGACTCCATCTAAAAAAAAAAAAAAAAAAAAAACTATACAGAAAATATATAAAAACTAAAAAAACATTCTCACATTAAAAAAATGAATACGTGACAATGAAGATTAGCCTCCCGGTGGACCTGCTGTGGAGCAAAAGTGCAAGATAGTGAGCAGGACCGAACCTGTGGTCCTGCTGGCCTCCACTAGACATAGGCCACAAGGCTGAGAGTTGGTTTCCTGTGGAACTGCAGGACTAAAGGTGCGTTCCACCTGAATTAACCCAAGACTAGGCTTTACCACTTGATGCTGGGGTTGCTTCTGGTAAGAATGAATGTTAGGCCAGGTGCAGTGGCTCACGCCTGTAATCCCAGCACTTTGGGAGACTGAGGTGGGTGGATCAGGAGGTCAGGAGTTTGAGACTAGCCTGGCCTACATAGTGAAACTCTTTCTCTACTAAAAATACAAAAATTAGCTGGGCATGGTGTTGAGCGCCTGTAGTCCCAGCTGCTTGGGAGGCTGAGGCAGAAGAATCGTTTGAACCCGGGAGACAGAGGTTGCAGTGAGACAAGATTGAGCCACTGCACTCCAGCTGGGTGACAGAGCGACTCTGTCTCAAAAAAAAAAAAAAAAAAAAAAAAAAATTCCATAACTACCTTAACCGTAATAGGTTAAATTTACTTATTAAGACAGAGGTACACTCCCAGCCGGGCAACTCATGGCGGCGGCGGCGGCGGCGGCGGCGGCAGCTGCTTGGGCGCGGTGCGGTGGTGACTGAGCTACGAGCCTGGCGGCGGGTGTGCGCCGAGCCCCGGCCCGGCCCCCGCGTGCCTCCCAGGCTCCGCACCCCTGATGCTGCGTGGGTGCTGAGCCCGCTCCGGCCGGGACGATGGTGAAGTATTTCCTGGGCCAGAGCGTGCTCCGGAGTTCCTGGGACCAAGTGTTCGCCGCCTTCTGGCAGCGGTACCCGAATCCCTATAGCAAACATGTCTTGACGGAAGACATAGTACACCGGGAGGTGACCCCTGACCAGAAATTGCTGTCCCGGCGACTCCTGACCAAGACCAACAGGATGCCCCGCTGGGCCGAGCGACTGTTTCCTGCCAGTGTTGCTCACTAGGTGTACATCCTGGAGGACTCTATTGTGGACCCACAGAATCAGACCATGACCACCTTCACCTGGAACATCAACCACGCCCGGCTGATGGTGGTGGAGGAACGATGTGTTTACTGTGTGAACTCTGACAACAGTGGCTGGACCGAAATCCGCCGTGAAGCCTGGGTCTCCTCCAGCTTATTTGGTGTCTCCAGAGCTGTCCAGGAATTTGGTCTTGCCCGGTTCAAAAGCAACGTGACCAAGACTATGAAGGGTTTTGAATATATCTTGGCAAAGCTGCAAGGTGAGGCCCCTTCCAAAACACTTCTTGAGACAGCCAAGGAAGCCAAGGAGAAGGCAAAGGAGACAGCACTGGCAGCTACAGAGAAAGCCAAGGACCTCGCCAGCAAGGCGGCCACCAAGCAGCAGCAGCAGCAGCAGCAGTTTGTGTAGCCAGCACCCCGCCACACCACACCCCAGACAGCTTGGCTTAGCCCCGATGCCCTCCCTCCATTGTACTTTATCATTAAAAATCAACTTCCAGCCCCCCCCCCAAAAAAAAAAAAAAAAAAGACAGAGGTACAGATTGGGTAAAAAAATCCAGTTCTGAGCTGTGTAGAAGAGACATACAAGCATAATACCATCAGAAATGTTGACACGAAGGGAAAGGTGAAAAGAATGCCCTTCTGGCAACATTAATATCAGGCAAAATAAAATTTTTTTTTTTTTTTTTGAGATGGAGTTTCGCTCTTGTTACCCAGGCTGGAGTGCAATGGTGTGATCTCGGCTCACCACAACCTCCACCTCCTGGGTTCAGGCAATTCTCCTGCCTTAGCCTCCTGAGTAGCTGGGATTACAGGCATGTGCCACCATGCCCAGCTAATTTTTTTGTATTTTTAGTAGAGACGGGGTTTCACCATGTTGACCAGGATGGTCTCGATCTCTTGACCTCGTGATCCACCCGTCTCGGCCTCCCAAAGTGCTGGGATTAGAGGTGTGAACCACCACGCCCAGCCCTGGCAAAATAAAATTTAAGGTTAAACTATTAGGATAAAGATGGACATAATAAAAGCAGTGATATATTGAGAAGCTTAAACATTCATAAGTCAATGTACTTTTTTTTTTTTTGAGACGGAGTTTCACTCTTGTTACCCAGGCTGGAGTGCAATGGTGCGATCTAGGCTCACTGCAACCTCTGCCTCCTGGGTTCAGGCAATTCTCCTGCCTCAGCCTCCTGAGTAGCTGGGATTACAGGCACATGCCACCATGCCCAGCTAATTTTTTGTATTTTTAGTAGAGATAGGGTTTCACCATGTTGACCAGGATGGTCTCGATCTCTTGACCTCGTGATCCACCCGCCTCGGCCTCCCAAAGTGCTGGGATTACAGGCTTGAGCCACCGCGCCCGGCCAAGTCAATGTACATTTAACAATGTAAACTGAAAAATACAAAGTCAAAATTTATAAAGTTATGAGGATAAATTTGGCAAATCTAAAATCAAAATGGGAGAGTTGTAGGCGTGTATCTATTAGACATTAATAGATCTAACAGTCAAAATAAGATTAGGGAAGATACGCGCAACACTATTAACAAGGTTTATTAAAGTACAGTTAAACCTTGAACAACATGGAGATTGGGGGCACTGACCCCTTGCACAGTTGAAAAATGAGTATAACTTTTGATTCTTCCAAAACTTAACTACTAGTAGCCATTTGTTGACCAGAAGCTTTACTGATAACATAAATAGCCAATTAACACATTTTATATGTTTTATGTATTATATACTGTATTATTACAATAAAATAAGCTAGAGAAAAAATGTTATTAAGAAAATCACAAGGAGGGCCGGGCGCGGTGGCTCAAGCCTGTAATCCCAGCACTTTGGGAGGCCGAGGCGGGTGGATCACGAGGTCAAGAGATCGAGACCATCCTGGTCAACATGGTGAAACCCCGTCTCTACTAAAAATACAAAAAAAAAATTAGCTGGGCATGGTGGCATGTGCCTGTAATCCCAGCTACTCAGGAGGCTGAGGCAGGAGAATTGCCTGAACCCAGGAGGCGGAGGTTGCGGTGAGCCGAGATCGCGCCATTGCACTCCAGCCTGTGTAACAAGAGCAAAACTCCATCTCAAAAAAAAAAAAAAAAAAAAAAAATCACAAGGAAATGAAAATATATTTACAATTTATTAAGTGGAATTGGCTCATTAAAAAGGTCTTCATCCTTCATGGTTTTTTGTTTTGTTTTGAGTTTTTTGTGAGTCAGAGTTGGGCTCTGTCGCCCAGACTAGAGTACAGTGGTGCAATCTTGGCTCACTACAACCTCTGCCTCCTGGGTTCAAGTGATGCTCCTGCCTCAGCCTCCCAAGTAGTTGGGATTACAGGTGCACACCACCATGCCCAGCTAATTTTTTGTATAGTTAGTAGAAATGGGGTTTTGCCATGTTGGCCAGGCTGGTCTCAAACTCCTGGCCTCAAGTGATCCGCCCACCTAGGCTTCCCAAAGTGTTGGGATTATAGGCGTGAGCCACTGCTCATCTTTATGTTGAGTAGGCTGAAGGAGGAGGAAGAAGGTCAGTCTTGCTGTCTCAGGTGGCAGAGGTGGAAGAAAATTCATATGTGAGTGGACCTATTCAGTTCAGACTTGTGTTCAAGGATGAGGTATATACAGTATGCCACAGCTGTTTAAGATGTTTGCATTAGGGGAAATTGGATGAAGGTTATACAGGAACTCTTTGTACTTTGTTGGTAACTTTTCTGTAAATCTAAAATTATTCCAAAATAAAACAATTATTTTTAAATGATAATATACACATGTAAAACAGAAAAAATAAAGTTTAGAGGATAAATTATTATGAGTAAGGGCTCGGCAAGGTGGCTCATGCCTGTAATCCCAGCACTTTGGAAGGCCGAGGCACGGGGATCCTGAAGTCAGGAGTTTGAGACCAGCCTGACAAACATGGTGAAACCCTGTCTCTACTAAAAATAAAAAAGTTAGCTGGGCATGGTGGTGCACACCTGTAATCCCAGCTATTCAGGAGGCTGGGGCAATCACTTGAACCCGGGAGGCAAAGGTTGCAGTGAGCAAAGACAGCACCACTGCATTCCAGCCTGAGTGATAAGAATGAAACTTGGTCTTAAAAAAAAAAAAAAAAAAAAAAAAGGCCCAGCAAGGTGGCACACACCTATAATCCTAGCACTTTGGGAGGTTGAGGTTGAGGCTGGTGGATAACCTGAGGTCAGGAGTTGGAGACCAGCCTGACATGGTAGAACTCTGTCTTTACTAAATACAAAAAATTAGCTGGGCGTGGTGGTGCCTGCCTATATAATCCCAGCTGCTTGGGAGGCTGAGGCAGGAGAATCGCTTGAACCCGGGAGGCAGAGGTTGCAGTGAGCCAAAATTGTGCCATTGCATTATAGCCTGGGCAACAAGAGCGAAACTCCGTCTCTAGAACAAACAATCAGAAAAATGAATGAGAGACACAATGTTTTGTGATAAATGAGTTCTTTAAAGGGCATGTTTCAGTGTTCCCTATTTAATGTTGCAAGATTGCCTTCATGGGTACTTTTTGTGTTTATCTGTTGCCTAAATTATTTCCCACTCATAGTCTTGCTTTTACTCATTAATGTTGAAATGCAATGCTTGTAATATCTTTGAATTCTAACATGTAGACATATATGTGTGCGTATATACATTCATTTAAATTTTTAAAAAACTTTACTTTTGGTTGGAGCCATTTTAATTCTGGAGTAAAAAAGATGTGGTCTTTTTCCTAGAACGTCCCATACCCTTTGATCATATGATGTATGAACATCTTCAGAAATGGGGGCCACGGAGGGAAGAAGTGAAATTTTTCCTTCGACACGAGGATTCCCCAGCTGAGAGCAGTGAACAAGGTAGATAAGTGCTTTCTTCCTCATTTGTTAATTTTTGCTGGAAGTTAATTTAAGAAAAATAGGAATAAATATTACATTATTCACACTCCTGCCCCCACCCCCACACTTGCAAGTGGCTGGAGGGAAAGTTGGTATCTCATGTTTCTTTGGCTTCTGTTAGTGTTGTTTACCATTATGTCACTCTTTTTTTTTGAGATGGAGTTTCACTCTGTCACCCAGGCTGGAGTGCAGTGGTGCAGTCTTGGCTCACTGCACCTTCTACCTTCTGGGTTCAAGGGATTCTCCTGCCTCAGCCTCTCAAGTAGCTGGAATTACAGGTGCCTGCCACTGTGCCCATCTAATTTTTGTATTTTTTTTTTCTTTTTTTTTTTTTTGAGACGGAGTTTTGCTCTTGTTACCCAGGCTGGAGTGCAATGGCAAGATCTCGGCTCACCACAACCTCCGCCTCCTGGGTTCAGGCAATTCTCCTGCCTCAGCCTTCCGAGTAGCTGGGATTACAGGCACGCGCCACCATGCCCAACTAATTTTTTGTATTTTTAGTAGAGACGGGGTTTCACCATGTTGACCAGGATGGTCTCGATCTCTTGACCTCGTGATCCACCCGCCTCGGCCTCCCAAAGTGCTGGGATTACAGGCTTGAGCCACCGCGCCCGGCCAATTTTTGTGTTTTTAATAGAGATGAGGTTTCACCATGTTGGTCAGGCTGGTCTTGAACTCCTGCCCTCAAGTGATCTGCCTGCCTCGGCCTCCCAAAGTGCTAGGATTATAGGTGTGAGCCACTGTGCCCAGCCAATCACATCACACTTGTTAGGCACCAACCCTTCCTTCTTTCTCAGTACTCTTAAGTTAATTAAACAGTGTATTTAGGCCAGGCACAGTGGCTCATGCCTGTAATCCCAGCGGTTTGGGGGGCTGAGACAGGCGGATCATGAGGTCACAAGATTGAGACTATCCTAGCCATGGTGAAACCCCATCTCTACTAAAATACAAAAGGTTAGCCGGGCATGGTGGTGTGCGCCTGTAGTCCTACCTTACTCAGGAGGCTGAGGCAGGGGAATCGCTTGAATCTGGGAGACGGAGGTTGCAATGAGCTGAGATGGTGCCACTGCCCTTCAGCCTGGGGAAAGAGTAAGACTGTCTCAAAAAAAAAAAAAAAAAAAAAAAAAAAATAGTAAACACTGTACCCAGACATATAAAGGGACTTGGTGTTTAAAGGGATTGCTTTTGGTAAATACCAGATAGGTCAAACATCTAGATTTTAAAAACATATAAAACCATGAAAGGATTAGAAAAAAGCTCTGGGAGATCTTATTTTTTAAAGTGAACAAGGCCTTCGGAAGTGTGACACTAAACCATAAAAGACAAGACTGATAAATGAATTATTTAAAACAATGACTGGGCACAGTGGCTCAGGACTGTAATTTCACACTTTGAAAGGCTGAGGCAAGTATATTACTTGAGCCCAGTAGTTCAATACCATCCTGGGAAGCAATGGCAAAACCCTATCTCTACAGAAAATACAAATATTAGCTGGTTGTGGTCATGTATGCCTGTAGTCCCAGCTACTTGGGAGGCTGAGGTGGGAGGACAGTTGAGCCCAGGAGGTGGAGGCTGTAGTGAGCCATGATCATGCCACTGTACTCCAGCCAGCCAGG